CTGCCCAACCCCCGGCCCCCCGCCCAGCTCTGCTCTTTTATAAGGACACTTCAGGGCCTCCCGGGGAGGTCTTGGGCACAAAAGTTCCCTGAATCCTGGCTCCTGGAAGCCGTCTGCTTGAAGATGTAAGTTTGTCTGCTCCCCTAACATGGAGCTCTTGGGATAGGGGTTGGGTCATTCAGGCTTGGTAACCTCAGTGTCTGCAAACACTGAAGAATGTTTTGAATTAGGACATTTAGAGACCATATGTCACCCCACTGTAAATAATTCTGCAATTTCTAGCCCAGGTCTCTCTCCTGAACTCCAGAAATGAATTTCTAACTGTCTGATGGACCACTGGGTGTGGATACCACATGGCACCTCAACCAACGTGGCGCCTGGCAGCAATTACAACAAGGGAAGGCCAGTTGGCTGCCTTTACTGTTCTGCTGCCTCTTCCGGTCCTTGGGAGTCACCTGGGCTTCTTCCCTACATTCTGCCACTTGTCAGCTCAGTGTTTCCCCTTTACTGAGTCTCTTGGCCACACGCCTTCTTCTCTACTTCTGTCACTGCCCCAGTGGGGCTCATTACCACTGACCCAGCCATGGCCCAGACCCCCCCCCGGTCTCCCAAGTTACTGCCTCCTCCACGGGGTTGCTGCAAGGATGGACCATGGCCCACACAATCTCCAGTGCCCTGGGATGCCACCTGAAGCCCCAGCCACTTCAGCCAACCTTCCCAGACCTCCTTACTGTGTCTTTGCTATGTTCGAATGCTAATTATACCATTTATACCTTCTTTATGCAAGCAAACAGCATTAATCATATCTGCCTTAGTTTTTCAGGTGTTTATAGCTAACTTATCCAACATCCTGCTGCCTCCTGAGGATGGCACCAGGTTGGTTTTTTTTGTTGTTGTTGTTGTTTTTTAAGACAGGGTCTCACTATGTATCGCAAGATAGCCTCCAACTCCTGCCTCGGCCTCCTGAATGCTAGAATTACAGGCGAGTGCCACCTGCCTGGAGGAACCAACTTTTATGTTCCGTTACAGTAGGTGCTCTCCTGTGCTCAGAGCACACACAATACATCCTGACTGACCTACTGAAAAAAACAAAATCAGTGTTTAAAATCTAAGTTATTCTTAGGCAGAGATTTCATAAGCTTTAATGTCTACAGACCCCCAGAATTCTTCTCTGTCAATTACCACAGACCATGTTCACTGAGCTGGGAGGGGCAGTGAGCATTTGGGAGAATGGCTGTGATGGACGGTGACCCGGATGCAGGCTCAAGTAGGACCTCAATCCAGGGGTAGGAGGTGTGGACAAGCAGTGTCCACACGAGGGGCTGTGCTGCCAAGCAACCCTCGGAGGGCGTGGTATAATGTGAAGTGCAGCCAGTCCTTGGTGTGGCAGGGGATTCTAGGAGCCCCACCCAACCCCACTCGAGGACACCAAAATCCACAGGTGTTCAAGCCCTTTATATAAAAGGGCACTAATACAAATAAAAGTTTCTTAAAAAATGGCACAGTATTTGTATATAACCTACGCAATCCTCCCACACAGGTAAATTACCTGGAGGTTACTTGTAAAACCTAAGTCAATAGAACACCGTAAATAGCAGTTACACTGTTGTGGTTGGGGAATAACAAGAAAAAAAGTCTGTACATGTTTAGCATAGGCATAATTTTTTTTTTGGTACTGGGGATTGAACTTGGGTCCTTGAGCTTGCGAGGCAGGTGGGGGAACCACTGAGCTAAATCCCCAGCCCAGGTATAATTTTTTTTTAAAAAGCACTTTTGATCCATGGTTGGTTGAACTCAGGGATGCAAAGGGCCTGATATATATCTGGCATTTGTCCTCAGTTCCAGGTGAGGAGCTCCTAAAACACCTGGAATTTCAGAGTGACTTTTGTTACTCATAATGAGCCCTTTTGGATAACACACCTGAGTTCATGCTAATGAGATGGCTAGGCAGGGGCTCACAGACACCCACATGGAACACTAACAAAACCCCTCCACAATCAAATGAACAACCCCCAAATGTTTATGTAATTAAGTTCCCATAATGAAATTAATAATTTTTTCTCTTGTAAGAGGCTCGAGGCCTGGGCTCAGGGGTTTTTTGGTACCAGGGATCAAACTCAGGACCTTGCACTTTCGAGGCAGGTGGTGGAACCACTGAACTAAATCCCTGGGTGGGCTCAATGGTATAATCCCAGTACTTTGGGAGGCTGAGGCAGGAAGATTACAAGTTCTAGTCTAGCAAGGGCAAACTAGTAAGACTGCCTCAAAAAAAAAAAAAAAATCAAAATCAAAAAACCAAAACCAAAGCACAAGGTCTTGAGTTTGATCCCTGGTACCAACAAGGTCATGATTACAGCTCAGTGCAAAGGCCTTGAGTTCAATCTCCAATACTGAGGAAGAAAAATAAAATAAATTTAAAAAAAGGCTTAAATCATCCTCACTTCATAGCTAAAAATCTGAAAACCAAAGAGCACATCCTTGTAAAAAGGACATCTCTTTGCAAATTGTTCTTTTACTTCCTCTCCTTTTGCCTGCATTCTAAATCTTAAAAGCCACACCTAAATGATTAGGATGTTAACTGCTAACTAATTTTAGATTTACAGAATCCAGAACATCTGGTGACTTCAGATAACATCAGAACGTAAACCTCCTCTGCTTACTCTTTCTTGTTTTGTTTTATTTTTTGGTACCTGGGATCGAACTTGGGTGCTTGTGCTTGTGGGGCAGGAGCGGAACCACTGAGCTAAATCCCTGGCCCTGTCCTACTTACTCTAATTCTGTGTGGACACTAACACAAAGCATGTAAACTGCTGTAAGGTCTAACCTGCAGAAAAGCTACATTTGTGAACAGAATGGTAGGAACAAGCCCCACAGGGTCAAGGTCCTTTTCCAAGTTCTGGGCCAGAGGGAAGAATGGAGACACCTGCTCTGGATGACAAAGACTCAGCCCTAGCGCGAAGTCTTCCTGCCAACGCCCCTGCATCTCTTGTCCCTCTCTATAAAAGCCCTTTCATCTATTCAAATTCCCTCAGATGGGTTTTTGGCAGGGTGGGAGAATGACAGTTCTCCCAATTTCTCAGGATGCTGGCCCTTGAATAAACCTGATTTCCTTCCCACCAAATTATCTCTGAATATTGGACTTTGAGTGGTGAGCAAATGGACGTGGGTCTGGTAACATCCTTTTCTCTGAAACTCACTCAGGGAAAACCTGAGTGAACCCCTGCTAGCTTTTAGTATCTATACTGCCTCTGGTCCATGGTTGCCATGTGTTATAGCTTGTGTCTAGCTGTCCTCCTAAAGCCTCATGTGCTCATAAGTGAGGCTTTTTGGATCTAGGGTATGTGATACTGGGATTAAGAGGTTGTGTGGAAGTATCTTATTTCTCCATCAATTTTGAAAGATAGTTTTGCAGGGTACATCAATCTGGGTTGGAGGCTGCTTTCCTTTAG